CATCATAAGGAATTTGTACCTGTACATGGTATATCTTGATTCTTCTTTTTTTCCCATTCTCTCACCTCCCTTTGACCCCTCCCATTTACAAAAGCTTTGTTTCCATACTGATCCATTCTTGAAGACCAACTTGTATGTGTCTCAAAATGTTGTTTTGCATGACCCCAAATGAATTATTGATAACATTTGAATACAGGTAGTAAATACATACTATACCAATGCTAAATGTCTTGAATTTGATGATCATTTTATGATTATATATTTAGGAAGAAAAGGGATAAAATCTGTGACTTCTTAAATGGTTTTAAAAATTGATAACAAAATAGTAAGGTTATGTATAGAGAGATCAATGGATATGTCGACCATTAGGTAAAACTTGAGTTCATTTTGCTCTTCTTGCAACTTTTCTATAGGTTTTTAAATGTTTGAAAATGTTCTTGGATGATGGAAAAAAAACCGTCTGATACATAGAGATGATGAGACATATGTTCATATATGCTAGCTCTTTTATGTCTCAGAACAGCCCTATGAGCTAGTTGCTGTTATTGTCCTTATTTTAGCACAGGACACTGATGCACAGACCTTGCCCAATGTCATTACAACCAGCAAGGGGAGGGAGGCAGGACTCAAACACTGACATCTATATTTCTGTTTTCAAAACACTCTGCATATGTGTTAGTCTGAGCTATATAGAAATTTCTCTGTTACAATCATTTTTTTGACCTATCAAAAACCATTTTATTTGACTCCCCCTAGGATCGGGCTCATGATGGGTTTGCTGTGTCTTCATGACCAGGCAATGGGCTCTGTGGGAGAGTGTGTCCATCTCACTTGCCACTGTCTCTACAGACTGCCTGGCTGGTGCTGACCATTTGATAAGTTTGCCTGAAAGAATAATAACAGCCAAAACAGCTTTGATTACTTCTCTCCTCTCTCTTCATCTATATTTCATTTTGTTGTCCTTCCTATCTAGGACAACGGATGGCCTTAGTTAGGAAAGATGTAGCCTCATACATAACTGCAACATAATCAACTATTTGATTTCAAGAGAAACCATTTAACTAATGGAGACATTAATTTAAAATATGCCCCCTACTAAGATGACCTCTCAAGCATTTGGGCTCCCCACTGAGCATGCAGTGATTTTGGCTAGAAAGTATGTGGTACTCAAAATGCCATCCTCTCGGATCCTTACTTGAGCAGTAAACACATTCTAAAAACACATCGTGTTGTCTCTAAAAATAAGCGATATTTCAAAATGAAAACCAGTGCAAAAGAAGTTGGCACATCTGGTAGTCAGAAAAGTTGTATGGTTTGTTTGTAGAGAGTGACAAGCCAAGGAACATTCAAACTTGGCCAATTACAAACTTTCCTTCTATCTGTGATGACACCTGGTTTTAAAAATCTGGCTCCAGGCTTAAAGCAGAAAGAACACTGGAAATGGGCAGAGAATTAAACAGCATCATTTACTATCTTGTTTTGTGCAAGGAATTATAAAGAACTGTTTTCTTCTTATTTTAAGGAAAGAACGGAACAAAAAAGTAAAGGCAAGCATGAAACAATAGCAGCAGTAACAAATGACATCTACTAAATACCTACTATGTGGTAGTCAATGTTCTGAGTCCATTATATTTGTTGTTATTACCAGATGCATATCAACCTTATGAGGTGGTGATGTTTTTCTTCCTGTTTTACACAAATTCCAGTAATTTGTCTGAGTCACACAGCTAGCCCATCCCAGGCAGGTGGTCTCCAAAGTCCACACTCAAAGCACTGCATGATTCTCAGTAGCCCGGAGGTGTTCATTATGTATGGCATTACGAAAAAGAATTAAGAATTAGATGGTTGCATGAAGCACAATGGCTCTTGGTCAAACGGTTGTTTGAAACAACTTGTGAGTCAGATGATACCATTTTCCAGAACATTCTCACAGTTGCACATAAACATTACATGTTCCCAAGAAATTCACCATTTGTTCTTACGCTTCAAGGCTCTCATCTGTGATACCTGTCAGAAGCAGTCGGTCTTCTATGGTTAGAAGATGTTAAAGTGGACCAGTGAATTTGGAAGTAGAAAGGGGTAAAGTAAAAAGTGATGAAGACATTGGAGATAGAAAGGCTAATGTTTATTATAGAAAAGGAAGTAGGGGATGGTAGAATAAAAAGAAAAAGATGACGAAAATATGGGGGAAAAAACTAATGTTTCACTATTATAGAACAAGGAAATAAGGTAATTCTAATAATGCTGAGCAGAGGATTATATGGGCAGCCCTGACCAGTGCAAAATTCTATTCCCACTGGCTTTATCTTCCATCCAACCTAACAACCTAGTTAGCATACAGTGGAAAGACATCAGTGATTTGATAGAGTTGGAGATTTTTTTTTTGGTACCGGGGATCAAACTCAGGACCTTGCGCTTGTGAGGCAGGCGGCAGAACCACTGAGCTAAATCCCCACCCCGAGATTTTTTTTTTTAATGGCACAGTGTTTTTACAAGACAATCAGAAGGGCCTCCATGTTGATCAGTATTTAATATTTACTATAACTTTTATTTTCATTCATTCATTCTTAACCTCCTTGGGCAATGTTTATTGTGTACTGTATAACAGACCCAGGCTAAGTGCTTAAGTATGCAAAGATGTCTCAAACAAGGGCTTTGTCTTTAAAAACCAATAAAGTAAAAAAAATGAGTAGATGACAGGCAGGCAAACAGTTAAATTCCTTGTCGTTTTCCATATGCCAAGGCAGCTGTGTTATGGAAATGCAAGGAAGAATTTGTGACATCCACCCAGGGGGCAGTGGGGAATGGAGGCCTTTTGAGCAGGAAACCTTTGAAAGGAGACCTTAAAGATACAGAGATGCTCATTAGGTCAGTAAGTCAGGGCAAGGGTATTCCCAGCAGAGAAGAGGATGAGCCAAGACAAAGGTTAAAATGACATTTCAGTGATCATATAGGTATTTATCAATTCAAAGATACACATTTTTAAAAATCACAGTATCTCAGAAACTGGATACCATGCCAAGTTTAATTATTTGTTCATGTTCTTACTTGTACCTAAAGTCAGAGTATTCCTTACAGTGTGTGGCATTTTAGAGTTGAAGAATTGAATCTTGCTTTGTCTTCAGGTAGTATTTCTTGAGTGTGCTGTTTCAGCTGCTAATGTCTTTGTTTTAGGGGACAGTTAGATATTACTACTTTTTTATTAAATAGGAAACGGACATGAAGTGATTGAATTCCTTGTATGAATATACGACATTCTGTTTGACACAATATGTGACATCTGATGTTGCTTTTAATACCAATAGCTAGTGGTAACAGAACCTGTGGAGACAATTCAGGTTTCTTATGTACTGGACTAGGCACTGAGCCATTACTTTGCCTTTTTCCAAAGTGAAAAAGAAGTTTCAAATGCAAATTAATAGGGATTTAGGATTTGTAAAGTTATTTCATTTATGATGCATTTTACAAAACTGTACCCACCTCCGTTGGTGTCAAGATGAAGCCTTAGTAATGTAGTGTTTGATGAGTTATGAGAACAGAATATCTATAACTGATTATTCAAAGCACAAGAAGATGGATCAGGCTGCAGTCAAGGTTCTGGTTAGTGTATCTGAAAAAATAGAATCAGCAATTTCTGTTGGAACTAATGATCCTGGAAAGTGTCTAAGCATCCTGGAGCCCCAACTTAAGCACCTTAATAGTATCAGGTTTTGCCGCCATTAAATTCTTGTGTGACCACGGGGTTAGTCAGTTCCACTTGAATTTTCCGGAAAGCTGGACTAGCACAGGGCTCCTGCCAGCTACCAATGCTCTGATTCTGCTAGCAGTTTTGAAATGTGGCTGCATTGATGGGCACATCATGATTATGCCAATGTCTTGTTTATCCTTTGGTTTTAGGGCTCTTGGAAGAACATGTTAGACAACATGACATGTAAAGGCACTTTTTAGCTATCGATTTAATTTTGGGGAAAAAGAAAGGAAATTGTGCCCCTCGAGGCTAAAGAAATTACAGTGATCTGTCTACCTGTCTTGATTCCAAATGCATCAATGAAAAAGATGGGGAATTGAGTGAGAAAATTTCAGAGCCTAATTTGTGAAAAATTGAGATCATGTTTATTTTTATTTGTTAGAAGAGGGAATAAAGTGTACAGTTATTGAGGCTTGATCAGGTAGTTGGCAAAAGTGTTTGAAAAAGCATATCCACATAAAGAGAATGTCTAGAATGATTCTATTACTATTTTTTTATAAACAAATCATGATGATATTTTTCCTTTTTCCTCTTTCTTTTCACTTTTCCATAATGACACAGATTTTTGTGGGCTTCTTTTTTTCTTTTCCCTTTGGGGAAATTTTTCTGTAATGGAGGATTTTAACTAATGAAAATGAAAAAAATCGATGTCAAATCTGGTCACTGTGTTGCTTTTCAAAAGCGTAGTTTGTGATTTTCTCATCTTGAGGTTTTTTTAATAGGATATAGTTCCAGTGCCAATGTTTTGGGATAAAGATTTTAAAAATCAAGTTTGGAAAGACACAGCCTTTTAAAGAGGCTTTTTGGAAGTCCAGATTTGGAATGAAGTAAACCAGTTAAACAGGTTTTTCCAGCAGTGTCAACTTTCCCTGCTGGATGATTGGAGATATTAGCTATTCTAGGAAAAAAAAAAAAACTTGGTTAGATACAGGTAATTCTATCTACATCACCTTAACCGTATCTGTAAGGATATTATATGACTCTCAATATAATTCTCAGAATATAATTCACACAAAGAAGGAGTGCAGTTTAACCCTTTTTGTATGAGTGGTGATTATGGAAGAGTTTCTCTTGTAGCATTATGGCTTTTTCACTGCACTTAGGGAAAGCTCTTCGGTATTATCAATACTAAAAAAAGAAGAAGATCCAAGGACTGTCTCTAAAGATGGGTCCTGATATGTGTGCACATATGTGTATTTACTGATTTCTGATGTAAGGGACATGAAAGCTAACCTGATTCATTTGTTTTTAGGGGCTCTTGGCTTTGGGCCTCAGTGCAAGTCCATTGGAAAAGGCAGCTGCAACAATCTAGTGGTCACCAGCAGTCCCATGATGGTTCAGCGACTGGGACCCATTTCACCTCCAGCAAGCCAGGTCTCCACAGCATGCAACCAGATCAGTCCTAGCTTACAGAGGGCAATGAATGCAGCCAACCTGAATATACCTCCTTCAGATACCAGGTCTCAAGTTACTTTTTTTCCCCCCCTTCTTTATGGTATAATCACACCCCATGAGTGTTTTCCTTTCTTTTCCTGAACAGGCACATACTCATATGTACACATACACACACACTCTCTCTGTCTCTCTGTCTCTCTGTCTCTCTCTCTCTCTCTCTCTCTCTGTCTCGCTCTCTCTCTCTCGCTCTCTCTCTCTTTCCCCGAGCAACTTTTTCAATTTGAGCTTTGTAGGGCAGTGTGTCTAAATTAAACTAAGTGTGTGCTATCAGACCCTCTTTACTGGGAAGAATGGTTTAATACCTGCTGTCTTGTGCTGTGAGTGATAATAAATGCCCAGCTTGAGATTCTGGGCGCACTGACTGAAGCCCACGGTGTAAATTTGTCACTTCCTGGTGAAGCAGGTCATATCAGAGCCTAGCACACACCTATCTTACCTGCTAGGTCTTCAGTATATACACTGCAGAGTCTCTAGGCTGCTTTCAAGCTGTTTTGTAAATCCATCCATCTATCCACCCACCCGTTTACTCAAATATATATTAAGCACCAACTATCTGCATAATCCAGTAGTCATAAATTTAGGGTACCTGAGTCATATACCTTACATGGTCCTTTGCACAGGCTGGGCATAGAAGGGTTATTATTTCTGTGTTTTCTGGCATATTTGATTCCTTAGCACAATTTTATAGCCTTGAGGTTAGGGTTAGTAGAAAGAATAAAGGTAGAAATCATGAATTTTAAGACTTTATGATATGTCTGGGAAGACATATTTTCATGTCTGAGTTACATAACATTTCAACACAGTGTCTGATTAGGTGGCAGAATAAGTAGGTAGACTAAATGCCATACATACAGCCCCATTGGGAACTTGAGTAGGAAAGAGAAATCACTCCCTCAGATAAGTTTTTCTCTCTCTTCAAGGTTGATGTGGATTGGTGATAAAACCCTCCAAAATACTGCACAATATTTAAGGTGTATTTCTCTTAGAAGTTAATTGTTTCATCTTCCAGGAGTTACTGTTTGGGAAAAATATAATATAAATTTGTTGTGTCTGAGTCCTAGTACTGCCGTTAACTATGATCTTGCAAAGGAGTTTTACTCTTTTGGCCTCTGCTTCCTCTTCTTTGAGATCTGTAACCTACTAAAGCGCCTGATGATTCTAAGACCCTGTTTTTTCTCCCTTTTTTTTCCCCCTTTTTTTTCCCTCTTCCCTCTTTTCCTTTTTTGTTTTCCTGCACTGTCCTCCTAACCACCATTTGAGACTCTGAAATCAGAGTTCCTGGATCATTTATTTATGCCAATTTTTTCTTGAGGTGGAAACTTGTTTTTCAGCTGAGACTTCTTGTGATGGGAAGCTGCTGTCATTTTCCCATTGATGATTATGCCTTGAGGGACTCCTCAGACTTGCTGAGTGCTGCATGTGAAATTAACTGTGCTCATGGGTGGGTGTCACTGGGAAGCCTTCAGCTTCCTATCTTTGGCAGGTCCAGCCCATGCCTTGAAGGCAGAGTCATAATTAATGGAGAAACTGATGGTAGGCAGAGCACAGGCTGCTTAAGCCATGTACCTTATGCAGTCCCTTTCAAGGGTCAGCCAGAGAGGGGTCATTATCTCGGTGTTTTCTGGCATATTTGATTCCTTAGCATAATTTTATATCCTTAAAAGACAATACCTTAAAATGCACTGACAAGTGTTTTTGACTATGTATTCTGTGAGCCCTTCTATGGGGAAAAAATTTTTTTTTGCAGGATAAGCAAAGAAACAGGAGTTGAGAAGTAGCTTGGCGAAGGATGGAACCTACATTCAGCAATTTGGAAAGGTTGCACATTATTTGTGAACTTTAAATGGTTTGTGCGTTCCATCAGAGGAGAGGCAGCAGTCCACCTTAAAGGCATTTTACAGTCTAGAGATAGAGACAATAGTGAAGGAACCAGCTTGGAGTTTTATCTGTCAGGGGCCTGCTGGGGGTAGATGCAGCAGGAGAGGGTATTAATGGTTCAGTCTGAGATGCCTGGCTAGGAAAAGCTGAAAACTTACATTGGTATTTTTTTTTGATTACCTGTGCAATTCTTATTTATTGCAGAACATGCGGAAAGATATTAGGCAATAAATGGTACTCTTCCAGCCATAGGTGGAAGTTTGATGTACACCTGTCCAGCTATATGCAAACACCTATCTAATAAGCATTTACTTTCCACTAAGTTGATCTGTTATTGACATAGGTTTTATATTACATTTTTTAGCTTATGTATTATACACTTTTTTGTAATAAAAGTCTTCATCAGCCTCACAGTTTCTTCCTCCCCCGAGTTCCATCTTATAAAGATAGTATATAAATAAAATTAAAATTCTTACTAGTCTTTTATTACTGAGCATTTTGTTCTTTTCTCTTATTTTAATATTATAAATAATACTTTATTGAATTGACTCTTTAAATCTTTTTTTGATGGTATTTGGGGCACCCTACCACTGAGCTATATGTCCAGCCCTATTTATGTAAGTATGTTTATATTGCTAAACTGAGTGGGCAGGCTTCAATTTGTGATCCTTCTGCCTTAGCCTCCCAAGTAGCTGGTATTAGAGGCACACACCACTATGCCTGGAAGAAATGTACAGTTTTGATGCCCTTATGTTTATTCTCAGATTACACTGCTGAAAAGACCTACTCGTTTATAAATTCACCAATAGTCGAAGAGATTGCTTGTCTTTCCAGACTATATTAATATTAGGTATTATTATTTTAATAAGTTTGGAAAATTGGATGTATAAAATTTTATTTTATATTAATATGCACTTTTAAATTATTGGTAATATTGAATAGTTTTCATGAATTTATTGGCTGCATTTTTCTTTTGAATTCATTTGAACATATTTATCTCTTGGGATGCTCATTTTGAAGAAAGTGCTTCTCCCTTACCTTTGTTGGGTTCAGTTTTATGCTGTGTGTTAGCTTTGATGAATTCCCAGCCATTTTTGACTAGCTCACCTAAGTGTCTACTGCATCTATTGTCTTGAAGATCCAGCAGCCAGTCTCAGTTTAGGCATCTCTAAAACTCTTTACTACAGAGGCCGTCTTACGTATTTTTCCTAAAATGACAAGGCTGAGGCACTGATACAATAACTTTGTGCGATGGCTTCAGATCATAATGTAGCAAATGTTGGGCAGAAGAGATGGTATGCTACTTGCATGGATTTCTAAAAAATATAATTAGCTTTTCTAGTGTTTCCATAGGCATTATGATTCTGTATTTTATGATGGAATACTCATAAAAGCTGCAGGTTTTATGCTGTTTGAAGACATGATGGGCCCAAGACACAGAAAGGCTAGATGATCTGTCTACTGTCACTTAGCCTGTCAGTCACAAAGTTTACCTATGATCTAAAAATGTCGTTCTAGATCCAAAAAGGAACCACATTTGTTTTTATCTTCTAAACCAGAAATTCTTGGAGGTAATTATCTTTTTGTGTGTTGTATGTCCACAAAGCTTAGAGGAGGCCAATAGGGCTGAGAATGACTGTGGGCTTTTTGTAAGTTCTTCATTTTATGCCATTCTGTGTTCAGAGGCAATGACACTTATTTTGGGAGATTTACCCAGGAACATAGATAAGAACTTGTACAGAGTGGGTTTGGTCTTCTCTTCCGTGATCTATGAATACATGAAATACACACACACGCATGAGCATCAGTATGAGGAATTCCACATGATTTTTAAGTTAAGTTAGAACTTCTTTGAAGCTTGGCAATGAACCAGATAATTCAACCTGATAATCATACCTCTTATGGCTCCATGAGAGTTTCTCAGCTCTTCCTTCACCAGCCACTCTAATCTTTTTGCTGATGGTTTCTAGTTGTTTTTCATATTGGTTTTATTTTGTTTGAGATATATCTTCTTTCCTTTCACATACAGTTCCAAATAAAGCAGTCATCAGAAATAATATCCTTAGGATCAAATGAACATATGGAAACAGAGATTTCTCTCAGTATGGCGACACAGTTCTCTGGGCTCTTTGTCACTTTCTTTCCCACAGTCCTGGTATGTGTAGCAGCAGGAGTTACAGGCGAGAATCCTTAGCAACCTTCACACTCACTCAACATATCGTTGCAGAAAGAACTGAAAATTGGTGTTCCAGCCATAGCTTGTGTGACTTTAAGCCTGTTTTACCCAGTCTTTCAGTCTGACAGAGCATGATGGGCCATATGTGAGGACAACAGCAGAGAATGTATGTGACAGCTAGGTCTGTGCCTATCAAACACAGCTTCTTTTGTACTTCCCTAAGGCCCCTGCCACACTCTGCCCTCTTTTTGGTGTCGCTGGGAGGAATTTCACAGAACCTTAGTTTTATTCTTTGTACAACAGAAGTTGTTAAAAAACTTACCTTACATGTTGTATCGAATAATATACAGGGAAAATGCTTTGTAAGCTATAAATAATGAGTAATTATCATTGTGATGATTATTCACTTTCTTAAATCAGAAATGTGTTTGAGGACTTTAGTATGTATTTAGCACTGTGGTAGCTACTGGGGAGATAAAAATCATCCCTTCTGTTGAAAAGCTTTGAATTATATTGAAGAAGATACCACAGCTGCTTCAAGGTGTGAAACAGACACTATATAACTTTTTTGGAAAGAAGAGTCTTACTGAGAGCTAGTTTATTGGGGAGAGATTTCAAGCATTAGAACTTTGAAAGATTAAAAGGTATGGGTAATTGCATAGGAGGGAGACTGGCTGCTTCTTGGAAAAGGCCATTTTTTGGAAGTATTATTAGGTGTTTGAGATAGAAAAAGGGCAGGAGGGAGGAGAGTAAGAGGGAGGGAAGGAGAGATCTGTTGATAGTGCTGCTTTGATGGCAGAGTATGGAATTTGCTTTTTGAAAAGTAAATGATAGCAGTCTTAGAAAACTGAGATGTCCAAGGAGTAAAGCAACGTGCCTACATGGAGTTAATGCTCAGATTTAAATGAAGCCATAGTTAGGTGTAATTTGAGAGAAATGAGAGTCATCTCTCAACAATGGAACAAGGAACATGTCTCACCATAGGCTGCCCTCAAACCAAATCATACAATTTCTTAAGCCAAGTTTACATAGGTGTATAAAATATTTTATTTGTCACTGCTTAAAAATCTACAAGGTTCTAAATTGACATTGATAGGCAAATGTACCCTGAAAGAGTATCACTCAGTGACATACCTCTGGTAAAGCTCTGTGTCTTTATGTTCTATAAACCTTGTCAACCTCAAAGTGTAAGCAAAGTCATTTTTCCCTGCTTCATATAGAACACAATTGCTGATTTAGCTTGGGTCTGAAAACAGTTCTTAAATCTCACTGGGGAAGGGACAAAAAGGCCCTTGACATCCAATCACCAGGAGCCTTCTGCTGAACATTGCAGGAAGAGCACATGCTCCGAGTGTATTAAGAAAATAGCTGAGATGTTTTCTTCCTAATATGCTGTTCCTCACTTCCATTTTATGGAATGGGAGATGAAAATGCTTGTCTTTTTCCTCAGTTCCCGTGCAACAGATTGATGATTAACAGCTGGATATAGTAAACATGTTCATTTTGGGAAGACACACATTTTATATAACATTTTGTTTTGATTAATTTTTTGATCCAAAGAAAGTGTCTTTAGAAAGCCAGTGCAGGTACACATGAATAAACCAAGCTTTTTTGCTATACACTCTATTTGATTTGAAGATTACAGTGCATATTCTGTATGTCTGGCCTCCTGGTGACAAATTTTCTGTCCAAGAGACTTAACTTTTTTCTTTAATTCTTTTTAAGGAAACAATGTCATAAAGCAAAATGAATTTTAAAATGGTCAGAGCTACATTATGAACCAGTTTGATAAGCAGACCATATATTGTGACGCATAAAACATGTGTGGTGAAGGGTAAGATCAGGAAAGGAATTGTTGTAAAAGTGAACCACTGAAGTGAATGATCTCAGCCCAAAGCTGCTCTGATTCAGGAGCTCATTGAAAGCCCAAGACTAACAAGTGTGATTAAGCCCTACATGGCCCTAACACATAATTCCACATATGACTTGATTTCAGTTTGTTACTCTCTTGTATATTATCGCTATATGTTATTTAAAAAATATTTGAATTCAAGGCCTCTTGCATGCCAAGCATGAGCTGTACTACTGAGCTATACCCCCAGTCCATATATTTTTTTTCATTTAAGGATGATTTGATGTTATGACTGAGTAGTGACAACATAAATTGCTCTTTAAAAATCATATGAATTTGTTAATATTCGTGAAACTAAATTGTGAAATTATTAAGTCTCTTGGACCTGTCCTTTGACTTGGAGGATTTATGTTTTTTCAAATCAAGCATGGGCAGGGTGGGGGATTTAGCTCATTGGTTCCACCACCTGCCTTGCAATCGCAAGGTCCTGAGTTCAATCCCTGATACCAAAAAAAAAAAAAAATCAAGCATGGGCATGTATGTTACATCCTGAAATAGATTTTGCTTGAAGGCTGGGACTCTGCTTAAACATGTACAATTGCAATCCCGATCATAGCATGCTTCACATAGTAGGTGCTTAACAAATATTTGCTTATTTGGTTTGGAATGACAGGCATCAGTGCTTTTTCTCTGGTCTCTAATTTCCCCCCATACGTTAAAAAAGCTATTTAATACTAAAGCAAAGGCTATTTATTATTATTAAAGTGCTAACAATATTTATAACAATAAATCTTTTGTTTCATTATTTTAGTATTAGCTTTTATTGTTCTTCTTGGTAAAATGTATTTACCTGGAACTAAAACCCTTAAATTTTATTTTAGCCCAAGAATATGTGTTTAGCCGAGAATGTAATTAGGAGAAATACTTAAAGTGTTGTCAGTGCAATGTTCTTCTAGCTTTTAAGCAATATATATCCTGCTAAAATGTTATTTTTCTTTCTTCCCTTCTGGCTCTTCTTCCAGGTCCCTTCTTTCCCGGGAGTCTCTGGCATCCACGTCTCTGAGCCTGACAGAGAGTCAGTCGGCCCTGAGTGTGAAACAAGAGTGGTCTCAGGGCTACAAGGCCCTCCCTTTGTTTTCTTCCAACCACGGCTCTCAGAATGGCGTGGATCTAGGGGACCTCCTTAGCCTTCCTCCGGGGACACCCATGTCCAGCAATAGCGTCTCTAATACATTGCCACCCTACCTTTTTGGCATGGAAAACAGCCACTCTTCTGCCTACCCTAGTCCCCGGCACTCGTCCTCCAGGTCACACTCAGCCCGCTCCAAGAAGAGAGCGTTGTCCTTGTCCCCACTGTCCGATGGCATTGGGATAGACTTCAATACCATCATCCGCACCTCGCCCACATCTTTGGTCGCCTACATCAACGGATCAAGGGCTTCCCCGGCCAACATGTCCCCGCAGCCAGAGGTATACGGGCATTTCCTGGGTGTGCGTGGCAGCTGCATCCCCCAGCCCTGCTCGGTGCCCAGTGGGCAGAAGGGCGTGCTGGTGGCCCCCGGGGGTCTGGCGCTGCCTGCCTATGGCGAGGATGGTGCGCTGGAGTACGAGCGCATGCAGCAGCTGGAGCACTGTGGCCTCCAGCCCAGGCCGGTCAACAACATGGTGGTGCAGCATGGGCTTCCTGGCCCTGAAGGCCAGCCCAGTGGCATGCTCAAGACCGAGCGCCTAGAGGAGTTCCCAGACAGTGCCCTGGACCTGGCCCCCGCGCCCCCTCTTCCTCCTCTGCCACAGCCCCAAGGCCCCCCACCCCCCTACCATGCCCACCCACGCCTTCACCACCCAGAGCTCCTGGCTCATGCCCAGCCCCTGGCCCTGCCCCAGGCCACTGTGGATGAAGACGGGGAGATGGACGAGGGAGGCAAGCACTGCTGTCGTTGGATAGACTGCAGCGCCTTGTATGACCAGCAGGAGGAACTTGTGCGGCACATCGAGAAGGTGCACATAGACCAGCGCAAGGGGGAAGACTTCACTTGCTTCTGGGCTGGCTGTCCTCGAAGGTATAAACCCTTCAACGCCCGCTATAAACTGCTGATCCACATGAGGGTCCACTCCGGGGAGAAGCCCAACAAGTGTACGGTGAGTTTCTGAAGCCCACTGGTGACCCTTCTTGAGGGCCCAGCTTGCCTTTTTCATGGATATATTTTTACAGACTTGGCACACGGGTCGGGATGGTTTCTTTGTGGAATTTGCATGTTCAGGCGACCCTGAGATTGGACGTGTCTGCCGTTTGAGGAAGAAGGTTGCTTTAGTGGTTATTAGCTGCTGGTTTCTCTCCATTTCTAGTTTCTGTTCTGCAAAGGCACAAGATCCACCACAGTAGGAGAAGCCAATCTGGCGCTTGCACACACACATGCATTGTCCAAAATCTTGGAAAAATGCCTGCTGGGCACAAACTTGGAGTTGCCTTAATGTGCATGGATATGCAAGAACAGAGGAACACACATTGCACCACTACCAAGCTTTAGCACTTTTCCAAAGCAAATACACAGTCTTTTCTTTCCTTGCAATAGCTGGCTGAGAACTGCGGTGAGGAGAGAGGTGGTTCAGATATTTAGGAGAGGAACTCACCACTTAGCAACTTGGCTAGTAAAAATGTTGCTCCGTGCACTCCATGCCTGCACACTATACCTTCTAGGGCTGGAGACTAGTTTATGACTTGTAGTCAGCATAAAAACAGAGAACACCACAGGAGCAGAACCTCACCAACTCTCACCTCATTTTAAGGACAGGGAATTTTATGGGAAGGTATAAAGAGAAGGAAAAGAACGTGTCTTTGGTCTCAAAAGAAGTGGGCCTGCCATCTCTTTCTCCTTCCTTGTTCTTTCCCAACATCAATCCTGGAACTTTTTCTTGGAAAAATTTGCTATTTTTGAATAAAGTGATTCTTAAATGATTTCACAACAATTTCACACCTTACAGAAACTCTCAGGGTTTACAAGCAAGACATCACCCTTGGGATCACAGGGATGGCCCTGTACCATCTCAGACAGCTTACTTAACACTCAGAAAAAGAACAAGTGTTTTATATTAGTTTAGATGGACAGGAATATTTCTTTAGAGTTAGAATCTAGGAATTCTGTATGCTCCCTGGATATTGAGTATGCTGGATTTTCCTAAATATGTGAAATATCTAAATCAATCCAAAAAGGAACTTATTTGGGCTGTGATTCCCAATAGGAGTCCCTTTTTTCTGTAGTATATCATGTTATAAAGAATCTGGACCATGTTTATGTTTGATTATAGATTGGCCAAGCTCTCTGATTCATGTGAAAAAAAAGCAAACCAAATAGCTGATAGCTGTAATGCAATATTAGAAGCACTTCTTCACTGTCCAGAAGGTATATTTTGTAAGAGAGTTTTAAGGATTTCTGGTGGAACAAAATTGCATTTTTTTTTGTTGCTACATTATGCCCCATATTGTGATTTTTTTTTTCTTAAGGAAAACCTGAAGCTGATACATGGTGAGAATGCCAGGCTCTATGAGTGAAAAGAGTAATTACATTTCAGGAGGCAAAACCTTATTCTGTCAGTGGGGTTCTGCATTAAAAATGGCAGAAAGAGAGAAGCAATTGAAGGCAATTCCATTTACTCTGTTTGGAACACACCAGCCTGTTGCAGGAAGAAAGAGATTCAGCCTCTGAAGGAAAACAGCCCAAACTTTCAGTTCTGACTAATCCTGGCTGAAAATAGTTTACTGGATTTGGCTTTACTGAAGTAAACATAAAGGCTTGAATTATCAAAAAAATTATTTTTGGTTTGCAAAATTAATTTTTATGCAATAGGATTCCCCCATTTCCTCACTATTACCAGACTTTTCAAAGATATGTAACTTCATGAAGTTGACTTTTGCTAAAGTTCGTAATGTGTATTAAAAATAGAAGTAACTGAATATAAGTTGGGGGTGAATGTTTGCAGACCTCTGCATAGCTCTTCATTGTGCTGTTCAGGGTGGGTACAGAAGGTAATTTTTCTCTCCTAATCTACCTACTCCCTACTTATAGATGGAATCTTTTGCAAAATTCAGATTGCTAATATAATAGCATATGAAATGTTATGGTGCAAATATATTTATTCAAAGCAGGGTTTCTTAGGAGCCAGCTAATGCTGTGACTCTAGTCTTGGGATTTTTAGCAGAAAGACATCTATTTTCATATAAACATACTTATCATGGACCTGTGTCTTCTGAAGACCATTATATGGCACATGTCATCTGCTTGATTTGTAGGGTTATAGCCAACTGGCAGCAAATAATTTTTTTTTGCAAATGTTTCGGTGTCCTCTTAAGTTGTAGACTATAGATAGAAGACATGCTTAAAGTGGCTGCATACTCTAAAAAAATGCATTTTTCTGCCTTTTGCAAAAATGAATTCTTTATATTCTTGTAGTCAAGACACAAAGAACTTTTTTTTCTTTTTTGGTACTGGGGATCAAACTCGGGTCCTTGCGCTTTCGAGACAGGCAGCATAACCACTGAGCTAAATCCCTGGCTAAAGAACTTTTAACACTGAAATGTTTCACTGTTTTAAAATCTGAAGGTAGTTGATTCAAAACTAAAGTTCCCTGTGAAGTAAAATAGCCACATTCTTCTCTTAGACAAGTGATCTTTGGGTTCACATATTAAGAAGGAACAGTTCACATATTAAGACCCATTTGTCTTTTATGTATATTCAATTGCTGTTAATTTCTGTGTGTGATAGGGTTAGTCATCATTTCACTCATTTGGCCTATTGACCCAAGAAAGGAACCTCTGTGTTTGGTGACCATGACTACAAGTAGTACAAAGAACTTCTGGAAGTTAACAGTAAAAGGAGGGTGTGACCCAGGGCTACAGCCTGCTCACAGTAAGAGGCTGCCACTGGTGTCTTCCTTCAGTGCCAAATTTCTTTTCTGGCATTTTTGGAATCTCTGATCAGGACTCCCCAGCCTTACCCCCAGCATCCTGGGAATCAGATTACTCAGGATTCTAGGTGGCATAACCGGAGGTGGATTGTGTGTTACTTGCTTCAGTTGCTGGAAGAAGAGGAGGAGTTCTTTTTTTTTTCCCCATCCAAGTGACCCTGCCTTTCTGTAGATCATTCATATTGCTGCTTTGGAAAGCCAAATCAGCTGCTCTCTTTGTAGATGTGACACTGTGGCCAAGAGATTCCGAGCCAGTGGCAAAAGCCTTGAGAAGTAAAGGCCTCAGCAGACAGACAGGCAGGCTGCTAAATCAGAAACTGGGATGTGGCAATGTTATATTTTTAAAATACCTGGGTTTATTCATTGTAGTCTATTACCTGAAGCAATTTCTAGGTGCTAAATCATTCTGTTTCAAACTTCCTGAGCTTAAACCAACCTCCAGCATTGGTAAACCTTGGAGTTATCCAAGCAGTTGAGCATTCCCAGGTATAACTATGTGGAATTCTGTGAAGTTTTTCTGAGTTGATAAGGTTCCAGATTCTCAAGTCAGAGCAAATCATGGAGACTCAAAATTTGTCTTTTTAAAATCTCCATTTCATTTTTCAAAGTGGACAACTACAAAGTGTAACTGAAAACTAGAAAAACACACTAACCATCTCTAACAGTATCTTCAGTAATGCTTGCAGAGTGCATGCAGAGCATGCAGAGTGTTTGTACTGCATTTTTTTTGGCCATTAAGTAGAAAAGTGTGTAGTGCCTGTTAGTTTCCGAGTAAGGTGTGTTCTGAATGAGATCAGGCTTGCTCTATTAGTGCCTGTGTGAAGGAAGTCTGTCTGATGAGGGCACACTGAGGATCAGAAATGATGTGGGGTGCACAATCAAAAGCGGCTGTGCTGGGAGGTCAGGGAGTGTTAATAAGGGAATTAGGGGAATGTGGGTTGCCACTTAAATTTTGCTTGTTTTTCCCAGATGAATTTTTATCCAATAGCAAAAAGAAATTTTTCAAAATTTCTACCCACCCACAGATTTTCACGAAAATGTTACCGACCAAAGACAGTTTTGAGTTTTGTATGACTTGACTCATTTCTCCACAGGCATTTTGCCTGGCAAAATCCAGAGTACTATATTTTCCTTGGCTTCAGTTTGAGGCAGTTTGCTTTTTAAGTAACATTGAATTATGAACACAAGAAAATAAACTGAGAACTGGGGCTGTGTCCCCTTCTTTTATGGCCTGATATATGGACTCACTGGGCCAGCTTTACCCATGTAGGAGATTTCTTTTTCTTTTTTTTTTTTATAGTTCTTAAAATACATTTAATACTTGAAATTTGATAACAGAATAAATCTTTTTTTTCCCATTAAGTTTATTGGTACATTTTAGGGATAAAATACAGTTACATTCATCGTTGGGATCCTGTACCTTTACGTGAGTATCATGGTTCTTTTTTTTTTACCCCTTCCCCTGCCCTCCCTTCGCCCCCTCCACCCTTCCCTATTTGCAGACTTTGTTTCCATTTTTTTCCTTTTCTCATATTTTTTCTTTTCCCTTTTTTCCTTTCCCCTACCCCTCCCAGTTCCCCTGCACCTTTAGACCTTTTCTTCCTGTTACACAATATCAATTACACATTTTTTAAATTACAATATCAAGATCTAGGAG